GAAACAAAAGGGACGGTGAAACCAAAGCTATGCAGGTCAACAGAACTATATAGTTTTTTCAATAGGTGTTAAAAATTCCTTAGAACAACGAATCCTGCTTACACTTCTTACTGAATTTCGAAAATATTCGTCATCATCATCATCTTTTATCTGCCTTTATCTGCCCCCTGCTGGACATAGGCCTTCCCCAATGCCTTCCACATAATGCGGTCCTCCGCCTTCCGCATCCAACGACTTCCCACCGTGCGCACTAACGCAACGAGGATGACGGTGTCCTCACCCTCTCTACGGACCTCCGAAAACCCAAGGATATGCCATTTAATGGACCTCAATTCTACTTCCAGCTCTTCCACATCCTCATCTCGCCTCAAAGTCCGGATGTTAAACGTGCCAATGGTCAGTTGTTTATGGTGGCCTGCCGACCAGGGATTCTTCGCACCCCCTGCCCTACCGTTACCGTGACCGCCACCGTGGCCAGAAGTAGTAGAGCTGCTGGGTACTGGGGGCCGTAGCATTTTCTGTCCTGTCATTGGGATGTTTGTGCCCTTAAGTCACCACGCTGGGGATGCGGGTTGGCAACTAGGAAGTTTAACGTCGTACCCAGGACGAAAAATATTCGTGACTAACTAAATTCCTATTTACAATAGTATTATGATAAAATCGTCAGTAAAATGTTAACGAAAATCAGAAGCATACAACATCTCAACTACACCACCTAAAGAATGCGTAGATAGTTATTATTATTATTATTATTATTAGAAAGTCTTATACATATAAGATATATAAAAATAAGACCTTAATAAAAAACAAAGATCGTGACGTGCGTCATTTTAGTGTTACACATAAAAAAGCGAAATAAAATGAACACACGTTATCCATAAACTAATTGTTAATTACCTCAAAAGCGTGGTCGTTTTTGGACTAATTAAACAAGGAATTATGTAACATTACGTAATTGCGTTGCTTTTGCAACATTTTGATTTTATTGCAAACCTTACTGTCGATATTGAATTAAATATACTTTATCACTAAACTTACTCACTAATGAAGATCGTGATCATATACGATTTATCTCTATGCTTAATATTATGAGCGTGGAGTGTTTGTTTCTTTGTCCATCTTGCACATTGACATGAAACGACGGAATGACATAATTTTTTATCCCGAAAAAACATCTCATTCCCACGGGCAACTGTTTTATTATCTAAAAAAAACTTACACTTCTTCTTGGACGCGCGGACGAAGCTTGTCATCCATAAAAAGTTAACATCTGAATTAAGGATTTTATTACCTCATGCGCATATTTTAAAGCCAATCGTCTTAAATTTTAGAGGTCATCCGGTTTTAAAACTATTGTAGTGATGTTCACGGCTTTCCTCAACTCAGACATATGTATCCTCATATTTTTTGGTAAATTCATTGTTGCTAATTGTTTTACGAAAGCATGCTTATTTACTTATGCCTTTGGTTTTGAGTATTATCATGATCGTAAGTAAATGGAATCTATTTAATCCACCTTGAATTTTTTTTTTTAATTATTAGTGCAGTAAACACGTTTAATGAAAACACGTAAATAAATTATAAAGCAAACCAGTTATACAAATAATGAAAAACGGGGACCAGACATATAAATAAAGTCAACAGGTATGTGAGTTGAAGGTGAGCTCCAACTATCTATATTAATTACATTATTATTTTTTCTTACATCAGGGTTTACCTCTAAATTTAAAAATGTAGAATTGATGCATTATTTTTAAAGAGCAAGTCTTCTAAGGGAGTTAAAACATTATTGATATCCCAATAACAAAGAAAAAATAATTCGATATACGAGTCAATTCAAGAACGATGTGACAGCGAACGTTTCCTGTAATTGAAACAAATTAATAAATTTTCAACCGATTCAAACGATTATGTTAATTTAAAATATGTTTAAATTAAAGAAAATGGCTTAAAATGCTTTAAAAGGTTCACATGAAAATGTAAATGGCAAAACGAAAAAAAAAAACAGTATTATTTTTCTTTTATTTAAATATTTACTAAAGCATCCTTAACATAATATGTTTACTTATATATTTGTACAAGTGCACGAACTTGTATAAACGGCGACTATAAAATGGTGAATAGCCTTGATAAGCACTTCAGAAACCATTCTTTGGTGAAAATGTTAAAGACGTTCTTGTTTGTAGCCTGTATCGCTAATGTGCTTCTAGTAGACTCTACTGAAGGTATTTATTTAACTTGCATTATAAATTTCTTACGAAATTGTGTAACAAGAGAAAACGGAAAAAATATATACTCATACAGCACAAATTTAGATCTCGCAATTAATTTCTTTATTTTATTTAAAAAAAGTTGTTTTATATTTATATCCGAATTTTTTCATATTTATATTCTAAAAATCAGGCAGCAAGATTGCGTAACAAAAAAAAAGTACTCAACAGAAGACCACTAACGAAATTAAAGAAATAAATCACTAAAATAAAGTTTTATGGTTTGTCTCAAGATGGTTTCGTGATAAAACAAAAAAAGTCCCTCCCAAAAAAACCTGTTTGCTTAGAAAAGACACTCTCTTAATTATTTTAGTAAAATATTAACGCTGCATAAAAATGAACTATGTCTGTCCCGATATAACAACAAATATTTCAAATTTATAAAATGTGAATAAAAATTGTCGTAAAGTTCTGGAACTTTCGACGAATTTCAAATAATAGTTCACCTTTTATTTTATTTGGGAATCGATTTTTTGACAGTATTTTTTGGTCCGCCCTATCTATACTAATATTATAAAGAGGAAAGATTTGTTTGTTTGTTTGTTTCGAATAGGCTTCGAAACTACTGGACCGATTTGAAAAATTCTTTTTCCATTAGAAGCCGACATTGTCCCTGATGAACATAGGCTACTTTTTTTTATTTTTTTTTATTATTTTTTTTTGGTTTCATGTGTGTTTTAATGTTTCCGAAGCGAAGCGAGGGCGGATCGCTAGTGCACCAATAAAATAAATTATTGATATCTAATTTCTACATTATACATGTATACTAAAAGACCTCCGTGATAAATAATAAGTTCCGATTAGTTTTCAATAAAGACTGGGGTGCCGTTATTCTAAATTCTAAACCCACTGTCTCTCCCAACTAGCCGGTAAAAATAATACCCAATACCGTAATTAATACCATGAGAGTTGATACGGGAATGATATAGGCACGACTTGTACTTTGCACGATGTGTGCTTCACCAAAGCAATATTACGGTTCAATCTGATGACTACGACAACTATTATAATTACTTAGGTAATTTAGATTTGAATTTTATTTACTAAGCTAAGTATGTGGGACCGTTCGCATAGCAATTAAAATGGACATTAACGGGTTAATAATAGTTGAATTATGAGTACATATTTGTAGACTGAAAAAAATCGGTAAAATAAATTCTCTTAATCTTATTTTTTTTTTAAAAAGCAGTACCCTACTCACTCCCAGAATATATTTATGAAGTGACTATAATTTCGCGCGGTTATTAATTTTACGAATAAAAATTTAAATTCGTGAATAAACTTCATAACAATGATATTATCTGCGAGATGGCCATGTAAGAAACCTTGAATACAAGCTGGAAGTATTGATTTGATTTATAGTAACCACACCTATTGAATTGAAAATTTTAATTAAAGAAAAAGCTATTTTCTAATTTTTAGAAACATGTGAACAAGATTCAGACGATTATCCAAATGAAAATGACTGTGGTGAGTTTTATCAAATACTTTCTTATCTATCTTTATTTTTACATAGATTTTTACTTTCTACTACATTTGTACAACACTTTTAGGCTTAAATGAAGAATTTTCGGAGTGCCCCGACGGTGCCTGCAGACCCTTAACTTGTGATGAAGTAGGATATCCTGTGCCCTGTGCAGATATTAATCCAGAAAGGGGATGCCCAAGCGAACCTAAGTGTATTTGTAAAAGTGGATTCGTTCTGAATAACAGCAGCATTTGTATACCAATTAGTGAATGTCGTAAGTGTAATACAATTATTTATTTCTTTTTATCCTTTAAATATACTAGAAAGAAATATAAATTTAACATATATACTACCATTTCGATGACCGTTTTGATTATAAAATTGATTAAAAGAAAGAAAAAAATTATAACTATAATATTTCACCTTCAACTTTGCCTTTTTAAATTCTTCATAAAATAAATATGCGGAATCCTTTTCCATCGTTTTCCTATAGCTTCATGCGGTGGAGATCCCAACGCTGAAGGTGGAGGTTGCGGTTTGAATTGTGGCAATCTATGTAGCAACTATGATCAAAAGCCCATCAAATGTTCAACAGATATATGTGAAGCTAATGGCTGTGATTGTAGACAAGGATATGTTTTTGATGAAATCAAACGGATATGTGTCNAGCAACTATGATCAAAAGCCCATCAAATGTTCAACAGATATATGTGAAGCTAATGGCTGTGATTGTAGACAAGGATATGTTTTTGATGAAATCAAACGGATATGTGTCCTACCAAACGAATGTCGTAAGAATAAAAAGCAAAAATAATTTACCTGTTGCTATTATATAATTGCTATAAACTGGGAATTACTATGACGCAAAATACTTGGGTTTTTTTTCCCGTATTTCCCTGTTGTTATTTCCTCGTCATCGTTTCTTTAGTCTTTCTTGTTATTAAGTTAAGATTGTACGGGAAATTTCGAACTTTATTGTAATATTGAGTAAGACTTTACATTTATTTTAATTTTAAGACAATTTGTTCTAGTACTTATTGAAGATGGATCTTCTCAAAAATGTTGATTCAATTTAAACTATACCGCGATCGATATCTTTATTTCTGGTCGACAGATAAAAATATCTCAGTCCTCAAATGTGCTTTACATGAAATGATGATGAATTTCGTTGATTTCATGATTTCGAAGTCGTCGTGACCTAAAAGATAAGACGTCCGGTGCATTGGTATCGAACGATACAACGGTGTTCGAATCCCGCAGGCAAGGTACCGATTTTTCTAATGAAATACGTACTTAACAAATGTTCACGAATGACTTCCACGGTGAAGGAATATCATCGTGTAATAAAAATCAAAATTATAATTTGCGTAATTACTGGTGGTAGGACGTCTTGTGAGACCCCACGGGTAGGTACCACCCTGCCTATTTCTGCCGTGAAGCAGTAATGCGTTTCGGTTTGAACGGTGGGGCAGCCGTTGTATCTATACTGAGACCTTAGAACTCATATCTCAAGGTGGGTGGCGGCATTTACGTTTTAGATGTATAGGGCTCCGGTAACCACTTAACCAGACATACCAGGTGGGCTGTGAACTCGTCCACATATCTAAGCAATAAAAAAAATGTAAATAATTATCGATTCAGCTTCGAAATGTACGAAACCAAATGAAGTATTCGACGAATGCCCGAAAACATGTCCACCCAGAGTATGTGGCGTAGATGAACGCACGATAAGGTGCGCTGCTCCACCCAAGCCTGGGGATCCTGCATGCAAGCCGGGATATCGATGTGCTGACAATTATTATCGTAACGAACAGGGTACTTGCGTTACAAAGAAACAGTGCAGTATATAAAATTATAACAATGAAAAGCTTATAACAAAAAAAGTTGTTGAACGTTGATATTTCTTTTTAGAAATCCAATGTAATAAGAATGAGGTATTCGATTTATGTCCTGCCCCATGTCCTCCAAGAAGATGCGGTATAGACCCAGCCTTAGTGCTTTGTGCTCCGTCGCCTACAATCGGAGATCCAGGTTGCGAGCCCGGCTGTCGATGTATTGACGGTTACGTCAGGAATGATACAGATGTTTGTATTCCGAAAGAAGAATGTCGTAAGTAATCAAAACTTAATAAAATCTGCTACCAAATTTCAGTTCACTGACCTATCTACTGTTAGTACAACATTATATAAGTAACTTTAACAGCTGAATACGAAACTGATTAAATTTTAATTCAAATTGGCTGATGCCTTTTTATCTTTTGCATATATATTTTATTTATTTAGCTGTGGTGTGTACTGGAGAAAATGAAGAATATGATAACTGTCCAGCGCCTTGCCCACCACAAACGTGCGACAGTCTTAAAAGAAAATATTTTTGTCCCAAACAACGTATTGTAAACGGAAAATATATCCCAGACTCTAAAAGTGGCCAAAAGTGCGAGGGTTCATGTCGTTGCATACCTGGCTATTATAGAAACAAACAAGGCATTTGTATATCAAAAGGAAGTTGTAGTAAGTTAAAGTGAATTAATATAAAATATCGATGCACACATAAATTTGAGATTATTCCATCATTTTATATTAAATTCACGGCAACATCCTATCACCTAGGATCATTGGGTTCATTTCATTTTATCGTCTGAGACAATTTTTGCCACCCACGATGCAACTCTGAAATGTCGATGCTATAGTGTCCTTGAAAAAAGGAGTGAAAAAAGTTTTTGCAGTAAGAGCTGTATATGAATATAACACTGAAAATGAAGAAGTCTAGGTTGTCCTTAATGATCTTAAAAAGTTTGGATTTAAAAAGTTGAGGAGGAACCGAAAATTTTCAACTCCGTAATATTCATAAATTCATTTCCAACGAAGTCCTCTATCTTAGTTTTAATCAGGAGGCAAAATAGGAGGCATGTTTAACGATGAAAATCTTCACAGAGTGCGGAGAATACGAACGATACGAAGTATGCCCATTTGATACTTGCACTGCAAAAAATTGTTCTGAACTCGGATTCGCAATAGGCTGCCCTGGGCAAACTCAAGACGGTAGTTGTCCTGGTGGTCCGGGATGTGTCTGTATCGACGGGTATTTGAGGAATGACGTAGGATCCTGTATACCACAGTCAGAATGTGGTAAGTCTAGGTCATTTGTAGTAATGCCCAAAGCTTATAATTCCTTCCTTCAGGAGAATTTGGAATTATTGTCTATCTTAACACAATGAAATCTTAAGGTTCTTTGTTTTAAAAATGCAGAAATATTTATTTATGAAACTTCACAGACACAAATACAAATTGCCCAGCTTAATGCCATCGGCATCCTCTACCAGCGAAGCAAGGATGAAGCAGAACAAAAACCTAGTAGGTTCAAGGGATGATAAAATAAACTAAAACAATATAATATCCTTTATAGAAACATGCGGAGGAGATCCTAACGCAAGAGCCGGTTGTGGGAGTAATTGTAACAGAAAATGCTCCGATATTGGTGCAAATGAAACAAAAGCTTGTACTTTAGCTTGCCGTGTCAACGCCTGTGATTGTAAAGATGGGTATTATCTCGATGAAAACACCGGAAAATGTGTGCTTCCTAACGAATGCCGTGCGTAGATTTACATTGTCGTTACATCATCATCGCCTCGAATACTTTAAGAAGGAATAACGTGATACGTTACTATCATTTATATTGTCAACATATATAACAACGTTATCGTCATCACCGTTGCTACAATTAATTACAACCATTTCGTTCTGAACATTGGGATACTATATTTTTTAATTCGAGACCCCTTTTGGAAATAATTTCATTTAATAAAAAAAAACGGTGCGTGTGTCACTTGGTGCACGTGAATGAAGTGAAACTTCTTTTTCGATGTGTAGTAATGTGGTTTTCTTCATTTTTCATCCTTAAATCAGATTGTTCTTATAATAGGGAATGATGTGTATAATAGATGCGAAATCTTCAACATTAATATTTTAAATATGTTCAATTATAGTTAAAAAAATAAATATATTATTATATATATTTTTTAAATACTTCATTGAAATATTGGACGCTACTCGTTGCTAACGCTCGCGCTGGCCTGTAACAGGTTTACTACGCGCGTGCGTTCGAGCGCTACGCATTCACTGTTGGTCTGTCTCTTTCTAGTATGGAAGCATTCAACGTGTAACGCAACCTTGTTAGAAGTCCCATTAGAAGTTTCACTTCAATAATAATAATAATCTTAACTTTCGACCAAGCCTTAATTAAATTTCATTGTTTGTTTTTTAGCTTCAATATGCGGTCCCGATGAAGTGTATTCCGATTGTACAAACGGCGGTTGTAATGCGAAAAACTGTACACAATTAAGCAGACCCGTACCTTGCGTTAAGATTAATTCTAAGAATTGCAAGAAAGGTTGCATTTGTAAAGAGGGATACTTACGCGACGAAAACGGCTTATGTGTTCCTGAACAATCTTGTCCTCGTGAGTATATTTTGTTGCTTATCGCTCATTCATCATCATCAGCCCACAATCGTCCACTGCTGGACATAAGTCTCTCCCAAATGACACCACTAAGCCCGGTCTTCGACCCTCCTCATCCACCTCTTTTACCATCCACCAACCACCAATCGATCATTCATATTAAAAGCATTATATATAAGTTCAGTAAATTAGGGCGACTTTTTCAACATTTCTGTCCTACAAAAATCTGGTGGTAAGACTTATGAGGATCCTGTCAGCAGCCTTGCAATATTTACCGCAACACATTTATTTAGGTTTGTAGAGTGGGACAGCTTTTTTTTAAATAATAAAACCAGTAACTAATTCTACGTAATGTTTTGTGATCGGCGGTAATTTTAAAATTGTGGAGTCTATCGTCTTCTGGGCGAGCGATTACTGAAGTCCTTAACACTCAGTCTGTTAACTCATTGCTCTGTCCATTGCACTAAAAACCACATACATATGAGCGCTTGTTTCCACATTTTTTCTTAATCACTAACGAAACATAAACTATATTTGGTATACCAAAACTTATTTTGCTAATATTTTATCAATTAACTAACACGATTGCTCGGGTTACTATTTCAGAGTCTTGTAACAAGCCGAACGAAGTTTATGAGCGGTGTACCTTCGACTGCCCTCCACAGACGTGCGATAGTCTTGACAAAGCGTATGAGTGTCCATTGCAGAATAACCAAACTTGCGTAGGAAAATGTAAATGCAAACCCGGCTACTACAGAAATTTAATCGGAGAATGTATTTCCGAAGAAGATTGCCGTACGTATTAAGTTACTTGCTTAGACTTAATCTGGCTAAGTTATTCGATAAACATGTTTATTACAGGAAGATGTCCCGGAAAACATGAATATTATTCTTGTGGCGGAGCATGCGACAACATTTGTGACAAACTAAGCGAAGAGAACCAGACAAGTTGTTCGATAATTAATATAAAATGTAATGAAATGTGTTACTGCGAGGAAGGCTATGCACGGAATAAAAACAATATTTGTGTACCTTTTGATCAATGCAATGGTGAGTATCCAAAATCACAGAAATTAATATATAAATTCCAAAGTATGTCCATTAATTTTCGATTTGTCTGTTTGTCTTTTTTTATTTTTTA